TGAGCTCATCCGAAGCCAGGAGCCAGGAGCTTCCTCCGGGTCTCCCACACGGGTGCAGGGGCCCAAGAACTTTCCTACCACTTTCCCAGGCCATAGCAGAGAGCTGGATCAGAAATGGAGCAGCTGGGACTTGAACCAGGGCCCATATGGGATGCCGGCACTGCATTAACCCACTGTGCCACAGCGCCGGCCCCCTTAACAGTTTTAATATTTATTACGGAGTTGCAGGTTTTTTTTAATAATTAAATTCATCACAAACCAAAGCAGACCTCCCCTTTCTCATTTTTCTCCACTTTGTCCCCAGTGATGCCTGGCAGTGAATCACACACACCTCTTGGGACAGAAAGGCCTTGCAGAGCCATGAAACACGCCAAGTAGTTTGGCATACCTGTCCTGATTTGGGGATGCAGTAGAGAGGAATAACTATGAGCATATCTTTGTGCGGCAGAGGAAACAGCAGATGAGATGGAAAAATAACCTAAATAAAAAATACATAAATTCTCTCAGCTGTACTGCGAAGGTCCATCTCACACAGCACCTCCTCCCAGCCTTTGAAGACCCTAAATAGTACTCTATCTCTGGATATCCAACTTCAGTCTGTGTCACAGATGCATACACTTTATACTGTAATCAACTTGTATGGAAGAACAAGCTTATTTGCCAAAGCACTTAAGTATCTGTTTATGTTATTTTAGTAAACAACAGAAATTGCAGGGAAAACTGTAAATCATAAAAGAAAAAACAAGGATGGAGGGGACTTGGTGTATCATCCATTTCTTCAATGCAGGCTAAGGCAAATTTGGAAGCAATCATTAACTGAAATTTCTGAATTACAAGCTGGAGCCCAGTTTCTTATTTATGTTATGAACTGTTACTTCTTAACCATTTCTCTTTTAAGAAAAAGCAAAAATACAGTTTGTACTTTCATTCTAATACAGAAGAACTGTGACTTCAGGAGAGGAGGAGCCCTCTATGTTACTCTGAGGACAAGTGCCCGTTTGGTTCCAGCAGTTTCTCCATGTCCCACAACACCTGATAAACACAAAGTAAACGACTCCAACTGTGTAAACACATTGATCAAGACATAAGCCCAAGTATTATTTCCGTTCCAAAGAAATGTGAAGAGACATAAATCTCAATGTTCCTTTTGACCCAAAGAAATCTAAAAGTAATAAGAAACCAAAGTGTAATAATAAAAGCTTCAGTGCAGGGTCAACATTGTGGCACAGAAGATTAAGTCACCGATGAAGACGCCTGCATCCTGTATCAGAATGCCACTCCAAGTTCCGGCTCCTCTGCTTTTCTTTCAGCTTCCTATTAATGTGCCAAGGAGACAGCAGATGACAGCAAAAGTATGGGTTCCTGCCACCTAAATGGGAGACCGGATAGAGCTACCAGTTCCTAGGTTCAGCCTGGACTGGCCTCAGCTTTTACAGGCATTTGGGAGTAGGCCAGCAAATGGAAGATGTCTCTCTCCCTGTCTCCATCTCTGTTTATCCCACTCTCTTTGTCTCTCTGCCTTTCAAATAAATAAGTAAATCTTTAAAAAGCTTCAGTTCAACAAGGTGACTTGAAGCATCTTTTGGTATTGATTCTAGCATTTTCTTTACATTTTTATGAAGAAATCTAATAAAGTACATAACCTTCCTCTTAACTCATTAACAAAAAAACTGTTAGGTCATGGATGCCTATAATTTTGTGGGTTAGAATGGGAGTGGAATAAAATTAAAAAGCGGCTGGCACTGTGGTGTAGTAGGTTAGACGTTTGCCTATGGCACCAGCATCCCATAGAAATGCCGGTTCAAGTCCCAGCTGTTCCACTTTTGATCCAGCTCCCTGCTAATGCACCTGGGAAAGCAGTTGGAAAACGGCCCAAGTGCTTGGGTCCCTGCACCCACGTGGGAGACCTGGATGGAGTTCCTGGCTCCTGGCTTCAGATAAGCTCTGGCTGTTGCGGACATTTGAGGAGTTAACGGGTGGATGGAAGATCTCTCTCTCTCTCTCTCTCTCTCTCTCTCAGATAAAAGCCAAACAAATCTTTAGAATGGGGGTGGAAGAAGATAGAACTGGGTTACTCCAAAACTTCTAAGACAATATCGAACTTTTTTGTGTTTATCTGTGTGTAAGTATCTGAGTGGCATGTTTATAATCCTAGTTCCTCTAAAATTCAAATAGATAGCCCATCCAATAATTTATCTCAACAGATATCACTATCACAAGAGAAAGAAGAAGGGGGAAAATGAGAAAGAAAACAAATAAATAAAAACAAAGAAAGCAAAAGAGAGCGCCAGAGGGAGACATGGAGAGAAACAGGAAGGAGGAAAGAAGGAGGAAGAGAAAGAGGTGGGAAGGAATGGCACACAGAATAGTAAAATGAAATGCAACTGGTCTGAAGAAAGCCTTCCTTGTTGAAATCGGCAGTGAAGACCATTTCTACCGAAATGGAACGTTCTCGCTTGAATTGCTGAGGCTTATTATGAAAGGCAATCAATATTTCACTTGACAATTTCCATGCTAACAACACTGTCACTTTCAGTGTTGTTCCACTTGTCATCTTCCTACAGTAAATAAAGAAGAATATAATATGTATTTCCCCTTAGGTTTATGAACATAATCTCAATAGCATAACTGCAACAAATCATCTGGCAAATTCTTGGCAAAGAAAATAAAGAACATATGTTCATCAAGGTGAGCAGTAACCACTGGACCATACATGGACTACACTTGGCTTCCAACAGCTTCATCAAACATGCTCTAAATCTATCCAATAGTCTATCCACAGTCACGAAGATTACCATTAGCCTACCATTAGCATCTAAAAGATTGACAATGAAGATCTTCCTATTGATTCTCATTTCTGACATAAATTGATATAAGACCCCCAAATCTGTTTTTGGAGAGACTCCATTATTTTCTCTGTTAATATCATGGACTGAAAAAAAGACTGATTAACACTGTATAGCTTCAGTGCAATGAACATCACTTCTTAAAATAATTATTTGTTTGAGAGGCAGTGTTAGAGAACAGAAAGCTTCCATTTGCTGGTTCACTCCCCATGTTCACAATGGCTGAACATGCTGGTAGCACAGCAGAGAATGCAATCCAGGTCTCCCTCATGGGTGGAAGGAACCCACTTATTTAAGCCATCACTGTTGCCACTTAAGGTCTGCATTAGCAGCAAACTGGAGTCAGGAGCCAGAGCTGCACATGAAATCCAGATACTCTAATATGGGTCTTCTAAGCTAGGCCATAGAACCACCCTTAGCCTTCATTTTAACACTTAGTATATAGATAAGGTTTCTTTTGGAGTCAGATCCTTTAAATGAATCTGCTAATAATGGTAACACAATTGAATCATACTATAATTTAAAATGTACCATTGAAAGGTAAGTCTTTTATTTTATGTAATTTCTAAACTGTATAAACTAGGTTCTACCAAACTTGAAGAGATACTATGCAAAATGAAAGAGGTATTAAATATAGTATTCTGAGATTCTAAGTCTTACTGACTTAGAATTCTAGTTTGTAAAAAAGTTATAAAAGCAGCAGACAGAAAAGTACCTTTAGTTTATATTAATAAGGATGAGAGTTCTCAGGGCAGCATAGCAAGTTAAGTCATTGCCTACAATGCTGGCATCCCATACAGGCACTGGTTCATGTTCTGGCTGCTCTACTTCCAATCCAGCTCCCTGCTAATATGCAAGGGAAAAGCAACAGAAGATGACCCAAGTGCTTGGTCCCCCTGCTACCCACACAAGGGCCCTGGATGAAACTCCTGGCTGAGCCAGGCTGTTGAGGCCACTTGGGGAGTGAACCAGCAGAGAGACGATGTCTGTGTCTCTCCTTCTTTCTGTAACTCTTTCAAATAGATAAATAAATAAATATTAAAAAAAAGGAAAGAAACAGGAATTCTTGGGGCCAGCATTGTGGCGTAGTGGGTTAAGCCACAGCTTGAGCCACTGGTATCCCATGTGAGCACCAGTTCAAGTCCTGGCTACTCTACTTCTGATCCAGTGCCCTGCTACTGTGCTGGGAAAGCAGTGGAAAATGGCCGAAGTGCTTGAGCCCCTGCCACCCTGGATTCAGTCTGGTCCAATGCCAGTCATTGAAGCCATTTGGGGAGTGAATCAGTGGATGGAAGACTCTCTGTCTCTCTCTTTCTCTCTCTCTCTCTCTCTCTCTCTTCCTCTCCTCTCCTCTCCCCTCCTCTCCCTTCCTCCCTCTGTCCCTCTCTCCCTTTCTGTCCCTCTATACCTCCCTCCCTTTCTTTCTCTTTCTTTCTGTAACTTAAATATATAAATACATAATTTTTTTAAAAAAGTTCTCAAATAAATATGAATTTTCAAAAGGCTAAAATCAAATAGAAATGTGTAAAAACCACATTTTCAACATACACATCTTACCCTGCAACTGCAAAGATATTCATTATTCTGTATTTGATTAAACATACAACTCATTATAATGCTGGTAGAATGTATGAATTCTAAAGTTGATTTTGTTGTTTCCTTGAAAACAATCTGATGATGGGGAAAAACATGCTGATTGGGAATGCAATTAATGCAGGCACCCTAAAATTACTCAGAATTTAATTTAATCTATTTCCAGTGACAATCTGAATAGCCCTATGAGAAGGGACTGAGCATAATCAGAACTGTTTCCATTACGATATGCAAATACGTTTTTGTTTCCATAGTAAATATGCCTTTGTGACATTCTCTCAAGTTCTGATGATCTGCTCACAAAAACTGTCCACTATTGGCATCACCAACAATTCCAAATTTAGCCTTATTTCAGTATCATTGGTTCCATTGTAGACTTTAGGAACTACTGCAGCCAGGATACTTTGCAATTCAAAGCATCAAAGACAGAGTCCAGTAGAAATAACACCAATATAAGCAAAGCAAAGAACAAGACAGAGATTCTTAGCTTATTTTGGATTAAGCAGCAAGCAGTCAATTAAAATGCATGCATGCTTCAAAAACTAAAAGTTCAGTGCTTACTTTCAACAGATCCTTGGGGAAATCAGCACCTTCATTTACCCCTTGGAGATTTGCAATGAACTCTTGGCAGGTCATCTTCCTTCCAATATTCTGCAAAACAAGCAAGTAACATATCGTATTGGACATTCGTAGAACTGGTATTGATTCTTCAGTAAATGACTAAGCAGAGCCAGCCAGATCTGGTTTTTGAAAACATGAATACATAGATACATACATAGGTGTACATATGCATGCATTCATAAGACAATTTTAATGTGTAAGAAATACAGATGGACAATTATGCTTCTAAAAGTCTCATTAAATATAAAAAAACAAAATTATGACAAACCCTTATTTTAACCTAGGAAAAAACCCTGAAAAATTCTATGCAATATTTATAGAAATAATAAATGATAGAGTTCCTATTACTAAAAAATAACACTCATAAAGGATCTGAGGTCTACCCTCCTGTCACGATCTCAAGCTGCTGGGAGAGGAAACAAGACTCCTGGGCGAGAGACAAGCATGTATTACAACAGAAGTAGCCAGGCTACCAGCATTACCTTGCTCAATGCTCTACTTCCCTGAACCCCAGTTCTCACAGAGAAACTTGACAAGTGCCACCTGCATGTGCAATGGGCTGTCATTAAGGACAGAATCCCTAAGCTTCAGGCACTGGAATCTCTAGTAACAGGCAGTATACATGTCTGTCTCCTTGCTCTTGGCTGAAGATGCTGGCTCTGTCTTGAAAGCAGTTGAGCAAATCTGATTACCGCTCTGATGTTACTGTGTCTCTCAAAGGTGCTCACTGTAAACTTGAAAGGACACACTTGCAAAGGCAAGCAAAGCCTCTATTTGCAAAATGTTCTGAAAATTGTAAGACCCATGGAGAAAAGTCTCCCAGCACCTTCCCAAGCTGACTTAAGGATAATAAAGTTTAACCAAAGCCTCCTACTAATAAACAACATGTGAGCAGAAAACCTAAATGACAAAAATCAGAAAAGATATAAACATGCTGACTAAGGAAACTGATATAACTGCGGTCACAGGGAATCGCCTCCTGTGCCAGCTCCAAACCTGCAGAAGTTGCCAGTTAGGAAGAATTCTGAGGTTCAATCTGGATACCAAGAGAACTGTGTCACGAGTACAGGAGACAGATGTGGAATATGGACAAGTGCACAGGACCTCTGGAAAAACATGGTTCCAGTAACTACAAAGTGTGCCCACACACCTGTACACGATGTTCTCACAGATAAACACATGCTTTCCAAGGCTATTTTATTTATTAAAACAGTAGGATACAATGGTAGCATTAAAAATGAGACAATATACTTCTGGGATACAAGGTATGGAGAGTTTTAAGGGAATATGGATACAGACCTTCAACCACAAGAACATAGATCTAGTCTGTGTGTTAAGGGTAATCTTTGTTTCCCATCTCAAAGCTACCTTTCTGTTTTACAAAATGAAAAAAACGTGTCCCAACCATGCTAATTATGGTGAAAGTGCTAAAAGGTTTTTTTTTTGTTGTTGTTGTTGTTTTTGAAATCTTGCCTCTTGATCAGACATTATATCAAAGATTGGATGAAAAGTTTGACAATGAGTACTGGTTTTGCCAGATAATCTTAGATCTTTCCCATAAATTGAATAAATAAAATCTGTAATACTAAAGTTTTGGTGAAAAAAAATTTTAAACTTATTTGAAAGGCAGAGTTTCAAAGACAGGGGGAGACACACACACACACACATACAGAGAGAGAGAGAGAGAGAGAGAAAGAGAGAGAGAGAGAGAGAGAGAGAGACTCTTCCATCTACTATTGCTTCATTCCCCAAATGGCTGCAACAGCCAGGGCTAGATCAGGCTGTAAGCTTGGAGCTTCTGGGTCTCCCACGTGGTGGCAGGGACCCAAGCACTTGGACCATCTCCCCCTGCTTTCTCAGGCACATTATTAGCAGGGACCTGGATTAAAGGTGGAACGGCCAAGACTCAAACTAGTGCCCATATGGCTTAACCCACTATATCACAATACCAGCTCCAAAAAAAATTTACTTAAAATATAGAAAAGAACTTTAATGAAGAATAATGTTTCACAATACTGTATTTTAAAAAAATCTCAATTTTCCCAGTTCTTCCCAAGTGTATCAGTTCAAACCTTGTGCCTCAAGGTACAAAGCAACAAGGATAATCAATCACACTATAATATTCATCTTGACTTGACGTGGTAAGCTCTTTGAGACATGCTCCAAGGACTGCTGAAGATGGATGAATAATGACCAGGTAACAAATTCTCTTCTAAGCCAGCTGCTTTCCAATACTTTGTTTTTATTAACAGAATTAAAAGAGGACCTTAATTTAATTTTGACCAGTGATCTGGGAAATTCAGACCTTTATAACATCTATTTTTCAACTATTGTCATTAATAATTATTAAATGTAAATCATTCTAGAACAAAATGCTGAACTCTTAAAATCTTATGATAAAAACTTTAATTTCATAGTTGACTTAAAATAAAATAATAATGCTCAAAAACAAATGCCTATTCACTACATAAAAATATAAAAAGAAACAAAATCAAATTTCTCTCCTAAAAATGACTATGATGACTTCATTTTGAGGAGTGTCAAGTCACTATAACTTTTTAAAAATGTAGTTTTTATTGAAATATACTCTGTATAACATTGACCCTTTTTAACTATGATTCGGTGATTTCAGTATATTGATAACATTGTACAGCCATGTCAACTATCTAATTTCGGAACATTTTTATCAAATCTAAAAGAAATCCTATACCCACTAACACTCTAGCACTCAGGCCCCAAATCTCTCCCTCCATCACCACCAGCCATCACCTAGCAACCACTAAATCTACATTTTATTTATATGAATTGTCTACTCAGGACATCATATAAATGGAATCACTTAAAATGTGGCCTTCGACGGCTGGCTTCTTTTATTTAGCATAGCATCTTCCAGGTTCATCCATGTTGAAAGCATGAATCAGTACTTAATGTTTTTTATTGCAAAGTACCATCCCATTGCACGGATATTCAGGTTTTATTTTTGTTTGTCCATTCATAAACTGAGGGACATTTGGGCTGTTTCTACTTTGGAGCAATTATGAATAATGCTGCTATAAATACTCGTGTACAAGTTTTCCTGTGGCTGTGCTTTCATTCCTCCAAAGTATATACTTAGGAGTGGGATTGCTGGGTCCTATGGTAACGCTATACTTATTCATTTGAGGACTGTTTCCAAACTGGCTGTACAATTTTACATTCCCAGGAGCCGTGTCTGAGGTATCAGCCAATACTTACCATCTCTCCTTTTGATTTTAGCCACTCTTAGGTGCATAAACCAGCATCCTGTGGTTTCAATTTGCATTTACCTAGTGACCAATGATGCTCACCATCTTTCCATGTTCTGTCAGCCATGTGTGTATCTTCTTTACAGAAATGTCTATTAAAATTCTATTCCTTCTCTTATTGGGATATTTGTATTTTTATTGTTGAGTTGTAAGAGCTTTTATATATTCTGGAGTTCTTATGTGATAGGCACACTGCAAGAATTTTCTTCCATTCTGTGGGTGTCTTCACTTTTTTTCTTTTACTTTCTAGATGGTGTCTTTTGAAGCACAAAATGGTTTTAATTAGATGAAATTCAATATATCTAGCTTTCTTTTGTTACCTGTGCTTTTCATATCTTATCTAAGAAATCATTGCCTGATCCAACATCATAAAGATTTGTTCCTGTATTTTCTGAGTTTTACAGCATTAGCTCTTACATTTAGCTACTTACTCCATATCTGTTTATGGTATAAAGTAGAAACTCAATTTCCTTCTTTTTTTTTTTTTTATTTTTTTGCCAGGCAGAGTTAGACAGTGAGAGAGTTAGACAGAGAGAGAGTTATAGACAGTGAGAGACACTGGTTCACTCCCCTAATGGTCGCTATGGCCAGCGCTGCGCCAATCCGAAGCCAGGAGCTGGGTACTTCCTCCAGGTCTCCCATGCGGGTGCAGGAACCCAAGCACTTGGGCCATCCTCCACTGCCCTCCCGGGCCACAGCAGAGAGCTGGACTGGAAGAGGAGCAACCAGGACGACTACCCGGCGCCCCAACCAGGACTAGAACCCGGGGTGCCGGCGCTGCAGGCGGAGGATTAGCCGGCCTCAATTTCCTTCTTCTAAAATGTGAATATCCAGTTGTTACAGCACTATTTATTGAAAGGCTATTCTGGGGCCGGCACTGTGGCCTAGCAGGTAAAGCTGCTGCCTGCAGTGCCGGCATCCCATATGGGCACCAGTTTGAGTCCCGGCTGCTCCACTTCCAACCCAGCTCTCTGCTATAGCCTGGGAGAGAAGAAGATGGCTCAAGTCCTTGGGCCCCTGCACCAGCATGGGAAGACCTGGAGGAGGCTCCTGGCTTCGGACCGGTGCACCTCTGGCCATTGCGGCCAATTGGGGAGTGAACCAGCAGATGGAAGACTCTCTCTCTCCCTCTCTCTGCCTCTCCTCCTCTCTCCCTGTGTAACTCTTTCAAATAAATAATAACAAAAAGCATTTTAAAAAGGTTATTTATTTCTTCATCAAACTGTCTTGGCACTCTTGCTGAAAAAAACTGACCATAAATGTATAAAGTTTATTAGTGCACGCTTGGGTCTACTGTATTGCTCTAGATGTCTATCTTTATGCAAATATAACACTCTTAGTGTAGTTCTACAAGAAGGTGTTTACTTTTGATTTTTTTATTGTAGTAAATACATAATGTAAAATGTACTATCTTAATTATAAGGGTAAAGTTCATTAGTCCACACTAGTATATTCACATTATTGTGAAACAGATCTAGAGTACTTTTTCATTTTTCACACATGAAACTCTACACCCACTAAACAACAAGTCCCCATTGTCCCGTACCCCACTCTATGTTCCACTCCATTCTATTTTCTGTTTATATGAATTTAACAATTTTATTTATTTCATATAACTGGAGTCACATGGTGTTATTTTCTGTGACTGGTCTATTTCACTTAGCATAATGCTTGCAAAGTTCACCCATGATGTAGCATGTGACAGAATTCCATTTTTAGGCTGAATAATATTCAGTTATATGTACA